TGCAATCTGAAGTATGAGAGGCTTTTGAACGTGGGTAACCTATGCATTCTATCATTCCAAACTTTGCAGAGATTTTGAGAGCTAGAGAGCAAGAAGGAGGAGAGCAAGGAGCAACTAAGGGGATGGAAGAATGGCATAACAATTAGAGAGAACCTTGGGGAGCCTTGAGGCAAGGATCCAAGGGGTTGAAGATGCATTCTCTTTCTCCTCTTTGTTCTTAGTTTCTTTCATTTTATTTGTTTCTTGTAATTTCTTAGTTTCAATGTAACTTCTTATTTAGCTAGGGCTTAGGTTGAAGCCCTAAACATGATTACCTTATTGTTTTGATACTTGAGTGTATGAGTTTCTAGATATTGTTGATGAATTCCAATTCACCATATTAATCTATCCTTGATGTATGTTCTTCTTTGATTGATCATCTTTGAAAGTATGCTTCTTGAGATTGTTGGGATTATGTGTATCTTCATGTTATCCTAAGCAATAAATGGATGAAGTAAGAATCATCCATGTGAATTGGTTTCTTGAATACCTAATGTAAACACCATGCTATTAGGATTCTTGTGATGTTCATATTCTCTTTGAACTTAATGGGTTCTCCTTGTAATTGAATCGAAGTACGAACCATACCTAGGTTCGGTTATGGGGAGGGCACAAGTATTGTAGCACGAACCATGCACTTTACGTATATTAGAGAGAATCAATGCGTCTTGAGCCACGACCCATGGCCTTGATTGCGAACATTTTCATCAACACGTTTAGAGTTCATCACTTGAGTATTCATGAACTTGGGTAGAATTGTTTAGGGTGGATTCCGAAACCCTAGTGTTTGTTACTTTTTAATTCCACTCTTTGATATTTCATCTCTGCCTTTCTCATTTAAATTCAAAGTCCATTTACTTTCATGCAATAGAAATAGGTCACTTGAAACAAATCAAAACCCCCCCCAATGTGTGTGTGAGTTGTGTGTTTGATACGTGGTGTGTCTTTGATACTGAATTTTATTTGTTTCCGTAATTGTTTTGGACTTTTGGTCCGCGTTGTGTTCTTGCATTTTCTGTTCTGAATCCAACCGTATAAAGAACGTGAATTTTGGACGTACGGTTGGAAAGTTATAGGCAAAACACTGGACAGAGGTCGAAATTGAAAAACAGAGAAACGAATCTGCCCAAAAACGACCGGTCGTTACTGTTCACGACCGGTCGCTCATCACACGTTTATTGAAATTTCGACTCTGCCGAAAAACGACCGGTCGTCACTGTTCACGCGACCGGTCGTCACTGTTCACTGTTCACGGCACTGTTCACAGGTGATAAACAGGTGATAAAATGGCGATAGAAAGTGCTGTTTGTGTTTTTCTCTAGTTTTCTTGTGTTGTTCCATTTCTTTTACACTTCTTTACTCATTTCTAGTTTCCCTCTTTCATTTGTGCATTTGTGGTGTGTTAAATAAGTGTTCTTTATGTACTCAAATTAGAACTTATAGGAAGCCGACAAGTTCTTCGTGGGATCGACCCCGTACTTACATAATCTATACTTCGATAGATTCGTGCACTTGCGGGTATTTTTAATTGGTTGTTTGCACATTAATTTGTGTCCTCTTAGGAATGCAACATAAAGATCACTGGATAAATTCTGACTTCACCAATAGACCTAAACTAGCTTGGTAAACTATGCAGACACCTAATCAACATACATTGGTTTTGATCTAAGAGAAGAGCCAAATACAATTTATTACAATTCTTACACATTGTTTTTTCACAGTCAATCTGAGAAGTTTAATTAAGGGAGACATGGGTATATATATAGTTAGTGCTTAATGATTGCTAAAAACTAGTTAATCTCATTAATTGACCCTCACTCATCACTCTGCAATAAATAATACATATTTTGTTCGCCAAAGAAGGTATTCACATTTGGAATATATACTAAGGTAATGGGTTCGACTCTCCCTCTAGTATTTACTATTGGCATATTGCATGATACAATGTTATAAAATCTTGAGATTTTTTCTTTTGGAAAACAATCTGTCGCGATGCATCATGCATGCTTGATGGGAGTTTGGTTTCCTCGGGGAATCTAATCTTGTAGGCAAGCTAGGCAGGTTCGGAATCAAACAGGGCTGGCTGTATCATATTCGAGGTTTTCCGACAAGCCAAAGATAATATTATCGTAGATAACAACATCAATTCCAAAACTACTGCAACACAATGACGGGTTCATACTTAAATAGTCAAATTAAATAATTCAAATTCTTGCATATCAAATAGGAAAAACATAAATAAATCTCAAATAGAGTGTGACCAACTGTCATCACCACAACAATATCCAAAACGTTAACGTCCAAATAAATAAATAATGAGACACTAGAGTCCAAGCCAGATCAAAAGGAATAACCCTAAGCTATGGAAATTGACATCTTAAACAGCATCTTTACTTCTTTAATATCTCCTATATTATTAAGTTTATAACTCCCAAGGCCATCATTCACCCAACAATTAATATCATCAAGGAATTCTGGTCTTCCAATCAATGGCTCTTTTCTCAACCATTCCAAGCTATGAAAACTCAGCCCTTCTCAGAAACCCTAATATTGGTCTCAACAAAAGTCCTAGACCTAGAACATCAAATGGTAGCCTCAGGCTCATTTCCTTGAAGATTAGGGCCACGCATACACAAGTTGCTGACTCATCTTCAGTCCAACCATTGCTCACCAAACCACTTGAAATTACCCAATTGCCGATATTCCAATTTGATGAGTACCTGTCCATGAAGGCAAAGAAGGTGGAGAAAGCTTTGAATGAGGCTGTGCCTTTGCAATACCCCAAGAAAATCCATAGGGCAATGAGGTACTCACTTTTAGCCGGTGGAAAGCGTGTGCGCCCGGTTCTATGCCTTGCTTCGTGTGAATTAGTTGGAGGGGATCAGTCTCTTGCAATCCCAACAGCTTGTGCCGTTGAAATGATCCACACCATGTCACTTATTCATGATGATCTTCCTTGCATGGACAACGACGATCTTCGTCGCGGAAAGCCCACAAACCACAAGGCTTTTGGGGAAGAAACCGCTATTCTAGCCGGTGATGCCCTCCTCTCCCTTGCCTTTGAGCACATAGCGGCTAAGACCACAAAAGTGGTCTCCCCTGAACGCGTGGTTCGGGCCATTGCTGAGCTTGGTTCAGCCGTAGGGTCATCAGGCCTCGTGGCGGGTCAAATTGTCGACATTTTGAGTGAAGGTAAAGAAGTGACACTAGAAGAATTGGAGTACATACATGTGCATAAAACCGCGAAGCTCCTTGAGGCTTCGGTGGTTTGTGGGGCAATAATTGGAGGAGGGAATGAAGGTGAGGTAGAGAGGATGAGGAAGTATGCAAGGTGCATAGGGTTGTTGTTTCAAGTTGTTGATGACATTTTGGATGTGACAAAGTCGTCGGAGGAATTGGGAAAGACGGCTGGGAAGGACTTGGCAAGCGACAAGGCGACATATCCAAAGCTCATGGGCATTGAAGGGGCAAGGAATTTTGCTGCTAAGTTGGTGGCTCAAGCAATAGAAGAGCTTGCTCATTTTGATGCTGCTAGGGCTGCTCCATTATATTGTTTAGCGAACTACATTGCCAATAGACAGACTTAGAGGAGCAATTAACAGAGACTGCATGTGCTTCCTTTAATTTTTCTTCTAAACTTCTTGGTGGGTTTTCGCCTATAGTAATTAGTGTTTAAGCAGTAAATATTTGTGTGGAATTGTTTTACATTATGATATTTTACGTAAGTGTAGTAGTGAACAGTGTAATATGTACTTATATATACTATAATATTTGTGAAGAAGTATGGCTAGATAGGACAAAACTCTTGTCCTTTATGGTGTGCTTACAGACCTGTGGCTGTGTCTACTAGATTAATTAACCATTATTTATAAGAAAAGAAACCTGACTACAAAAATATCTCATAATTTAATTAGCCATCGAATGGCAGAGCAAACAGCTATTTTTTTAATCAGTCGGGTGTTAGTTGGATTCACTCAGGTTTTTGGTGTGCTCTCAAGTGATCTTAGGGGGTAACTACTCTTAACCATTTGAGTTACAAGTCCCTTGCCATTAATTCTTAAAGTTAGAAATATATGTAATTCACTTGTGATTTCGATCACACTTGAAAGCAAGCGAGCACAACGCGATTCATGACCCTTCCTAATTCAATGCAATTTCTTCTTTTCTTGACTTCTGCAATCTTTTCCTTGATGCCTATATTGACGCAACCATCACTCTGTTTCCAAGACAACTCCTAAACCCAACCGGTGGTCAAGCTCATTCACCAGATACCAGCTTACATCCTCCACACTATAATCCAAGTTACAACTAGCTATATGACTATAAGAGATTGGTGCTCAAACTGACATGAAAAGGTTACTTGCACGCTGCTTTGGTAACTTAAAACTGACTACAGAACGACCATCGAAAGTGATGGTGCATGAGCCAGTATTCTTCCATCGGATTTTGGTAAGGTCTGCCCATTGATGAGATGTGGAACCTATATGGATCAACGGTAAAACAAAGATTACACTAGTCAAAAAGTAGCTACAAGTTCAGGTGGATTTCAACAGTATACTGCAAAAAAAAAAAAAAAAAAGCTATGAATTGAGTTGTAGTTATGATAGAACATGGCTAATGTGCTGATATGGAACCGTTAGTCAGAGATCTTGTTCGGTTTCCTATGGGAAGCTACGTAACCCTTCTCTAATAATCCTAGAGAAAATACAAAGATATAAAATCCTAAGTGTTCCTTTAACATGGTACTGCAATCAAACCCATAGTGCAAAAAGAAATGGCATGTATAAGGATTGCCATCAGAGTTGGAAAAAGGGCAAGGAATTCTACATGAAAATGGTAAAGATGAGAAAGCATCTTACCTGGCTTAGATGCTTAAAGAAGAAGACACATCTAACTGGTTGCATAGACCATTTTATGAGTCCCAACAAGTAGCTCTAAGCGTTTATCCTGCAGTAACAATCAACATCAGAAAACACCAACTCTACCAGCCACTGCTTGCTATTGGCTGGTTCAAGGATAACATGAGTGCAAAACAATACAAGTTTCTAGGGGCATCAGCCCTTTGATAAGTGCACAGTATAGCTTAACCCTACAAAATGAAACTAAATACTTAGATAACACCCAAAACACCAAACATTCATCAAAGAGCAAAATATTTCAGCAACAAAATTTGAAGTGAACATCGAAAATAATTTAAACAAAGGTCTTCTGACACCAAGCATGCTTCTATGGATATCAAAGCCATAATAGGACTATGGGGCGCATCATTTCCAGAGAAAAAAACTGCATTGCAAAAAAAGAGCCGTAATTAGATACATAAGCAAATGACTTGCTCTGGCTAAGCAAAGGGAACTGATCTACTTCCCATTGTCCTCCAGAGACACTCACTGAGGCACCAAATCTGTACTAGATACGACACCTAGCAACAATTTAAAGACAACAATAATATGTTCAGAAAAATCATCAAATAAAGTACAATAAAAGAGTCCCACATGATATATTGCATATTCTCATAGTAACAAGAAAAGTCCAGCATGAACCTTAATCGTCCTGGTTAGATAATTTGTTTCATCGCTTTCTTCCACCACGCTCTCTTAATGAAAGAGTAAGTGTTTCTCCTGCTCCAACATTGTAATATGCCAGCGACATATTGTCCTTGAGAAAACCAGGTTTTCCACTCAGTTTCTGCTTGTTTGCAGGAAGCTGGATCTCCCCAGAAATTTTTTCTTTCAGACTTCCAACATTTTCAGATAAAGACTGCACCATAATCTCCAAAAGTTGTCCCTTCAGATTACCTTCACCAACATTGGGGACAGATACTGTTATGTGGACAGGTCCCGAATGCTGTGCCAAAAACTGATCTTCTGGAATAAGCATAGAATCATCAAGCTTCTGCCGCTTTGGCGCAGGTTCTTCTGGAAGTGGTGGTGGAGACATCCCCTGAGGCAAAGGTGGTGGTGGCATCATCTGTATTGTAGGTGGAGGAACAGCAAGAGGGTTATAAGTTCGGGGAAATTGCATGACTGTAAAATGAGAACCAGGTGGGGGTGGTCTAACTGATTGATATTGGACAACTGGGGGTCTTGACAGAGGAGGAGCTGCAGGACCAGGAAGGTTCCTTGCATCATTGTTAAGGACATGATTTTCTGTGTGGCTAAAGCTTCCAGTGTGACCATCCCAGATGACCTGTTGTGGTTGCTCATCTTTCTTTCTTTCAACCTCAGCCTTGACAGCATTAGAAACTTCTTCCTCTGTGGTACCAAAAATATCAGGGCGGGTTCGTGCAAGGCCAAGAATGTTTCTTGAGATTTCGTCATCCTGAGCAAGCGTAGTCTTCCAAAGCTTGGCAAACATCCTTTCTTTCTGCTCTTGATATTTTGGATCAATTAGAGAAATCCTCATGTGTTCAGACATCTCATTGATAGGGATAAGCTCCCCAGTGATTGGAGAAATGACATACTTTGTTGGGTCTCTTTGGGCAAGGATCCTGTCCTCGGGTCTCTTCCAATTGTTCACAATTCTCAGTGGTGGTTCTGGATCCTCTGTCATGAAGCCCTCCTCAACAAGCTGCATCTCTTCTTCATCCATTTCCATTTCCACCTGCTCACCAGGCTGAACAATATCTTCTTCCATATCTGTGACCTTGCTTCTCCTTATAACCTCCTCAAGGACCATTGGAGGACGTAAATCCTCGTCCTCATCATCAGCAAAGTTTATCGTTTCAACCAGAGAAAAATCATACCAATCAATCATAGCCATTTGTATCCTTTCCTCCTCAATCTCATCTTCAGCCTTCTGCTTTGCCTGCTCTTGTGAACGTTCCCACTCCAGCCGATGCACACACCTTTCAAGCACAGTTTCCATGTCTGCAACACTTTTCTTAAGCTTCTCTGTCAAACCCTTCGGCGGCATCACCACCTTTGAATACGCATCTACAAGAGAAAAGAAAAACGTGAACATTTTGTGGGTAGGAATCATCAGAAAATGGAACTGGGGGTTATTGATTTCCCTTTTTGCCAATCCTTTCAAAAAAGATTTCCCATTTCGAGCCACGGACTGGGCTGTGAGCATAATAATATCTAACTCTTCCCCAGTAATTCCTTGAGGAAGCCGAACAGTATAATCCCCAGCTTCGGGTGTTTCGAGCACTTTGAGCACTGGTTTAAACTGGGCAGAGGGATCTGCAGCAGAAGCTGCAGGCTGCTGCAAAGAAGGTTGCTCTTGCTGTTGCTGTTGCTGTCCAGAAGACTGATTTTGAGCACAGAACTCAAGCAAGCGATGCTGATAATATGCGTGAAAAGGGCTTGTGGAAATCAAAAAGTTGAACTTTTGATTTCCGGTATTCTCAGCAACGACCCTTTTCACAAATCCGGGTCCATTCTTTGCCACGAATTCGACAGTTTTGTCAAGAACGATTCTAATTTCTAGCGGAGGATGAATGATCCCAATAGCCCTAGTATGCGTCGAAACTGAAGAAGAAGAAGAAGACAAGTTCAAGTTGGTTGTGGTTTTGGTTTTGCTCACCTCCTCACCCAATTGCTTCTCATCCTTCACTTGGGATGCTGGAACAGGACCAGGGTTTCCGTCATCAGGAGGAACCGCTAATGGCAAAAAGGAACGCATCTGATCTGAGCTGAGCACCATTTACAAGAGAGAGAGAGAGAACGAGAGAGAACGAGAGAGAGATTGTGTTTCTGCCTGGGTTTTATAGAAGAGAGGGACTTAGTCCTTGTATTTATAGGTATGGGAAAGCCTTAACCTAATAGGATTGGACCTTTTTTTTTGGTTGGATAAGGATTGGATGGACTTTACCTGTATGCCTTCAGGTTTTTTTTTTTTTTTTGGGTCTGAACCATTTGACTAGAGTGTCAAAACTAGTTTTTCTATTCTTCTTCTTTTCTTTTTTTTTCTTAAGACCAAAAAGTAGTACCTAATTTTACAATAATGTAATTAAAAAAATCAAAACTATACACGATGCCATTCCTTTTAAGTCTAGCACACTATGCCACCTCCAGCAATCCCCCTTTCGGCTAGTCGTCTGCCTCCGCCTCCTATCGCCGACCACCCACCCACCACCATCGCCGCCCAGTAGCTGTTGCTGCCGTCCATCGCCGCCCAGCCGATGCAGCCCATCGCCGGCGACCAATTCCGTTGCCCTTTATTCACCCTTACCCATTGCGGGCGACCAACTCCGTTGCCCTTTATTCACTCTAAAAAAATAGAAGATTTTGTGTGATTAAATGGACTTTAACCTTGACCCTCAAAAGGAGGAAGCCTCATTCACAAATCACTACACCAAACTTATTTTTGTGATATTTATTCAGTTAAACAATTTCTATATAAACAGTCAACGGTTTTTAAAAAATAATTAATTAATTTCAACACCAATTCGCGAAACATTTGTATCAAATCCTGTTAGTATGAAAATTGTGTTGTCATTTCCTAGACTCTAGCATAGGTTGAAAATTGGCGTGTGAACAGGGACGAATCCAGGATTTCGAAATACACTGGGCTGGATTTCCCTTATAAACAAACTCGACGGTACGAGTGAATTTCATTGATAACAAAAATTATATACCTAATCAGGGGGGACATATTGAGCCATACCCTCAAAATGCATATAGTACATAAGATATAAACTAATAAAAAAAGACAATATAGAATAAACATGCAATGCAAATACATAATACAACTATTTGAGTTGCACCCTTCTAGGCTTGAAAGAGTTGAAATCACTAAATAAACATGCAATCCCATAGTTTTTTACAACAAAAATAAGGAAAAAACAAATGCAAACGACATCATGGCAATATAAATACTCTCAGCTTCCCCACGAAATTGTGATGTAAGTCCATTACGACCTATTTCATCAAGAAGTGTCTTGGTTGCACCAAATAAATAAATCAAACTTTTGATAGAACTAGAATGAGACCCCCAAGAAATGTCTTGGCTTCTTTGCGTTTTCACCCTCATGAATTGATGCTTTCTGTCCCACTCAAGTAGTTTTGACTCTGTTTACTGTGAATGCAGGTACGAAGTGGGCTATCCCTTCTATTTAGCTATAGATATATATTTTTTTTGGGCTAAGACTACATCACATTTAAAAATCAAAATTTTTTTGGCATGGGCTATAGCCCATACAGCCCATTAGCTGCATTCGTCCCTGCGTGTGAAGAATTGTTATTGAACATTTTGGCACAAGTCATTCAATCCCATATTTCCGAGGCATGACTTGACCGATATGAGAAACTGATTTCAGGTAAATCATAACATAATCATGCATTCATTATAGGATTCCTAGTTGGAGTTATTTTTACTCAAGCACTTTTATGTTAGCCCTATTTTTAATAGGATTAGATTTTATCTCTTGAGATTACTAATCGGTGCATAATTACATATCATTTTGTATCCTTCTAACTTATGATTTGGTTATGTTTTTTAGTTAAACTTGTGCTTTTAATAAGTTTTGTGTTTGTTTCAGTGTAATAAGCTTGAGACTCATTAAATGCATTTTGGAGACAAGTTAGCTCATAGGTGTCTGCAGATCAGTCAACTTCACGAATTGGACTGTACTTGCTCAAGAAGAACCAGATTATGAGCCATACATCATTGGAAAGATGCGGAAGTCTAGTTTTTGGAGAATTTTACTGTTCATGATTTCGAGTCTTCTAGAGAAAGTTATACAAGTTTTGGCAACTTAAGGTCAAATTCGGCAGCATCTGCGTTACTGGGCCAAAAATGACATTTGAAGGGCTTTCCGATTTTTCCTTGAGCTGGGCTGCATATGCTTGGAAAGATAATTCAAAGGGTTTGAAATTCCAGATTTTTCCAGATTTTTTAGGAGGGAAGATCAAGCCCAAAACAAGCCCACAAGCTGACTGCAATGAAGTCAATTCCGGTCAATTTTCGGATGTCAACTTGCAAGGCCCAAAACATACACTTTTATTGCTCAGATGGGAATACATTCTTCATACAAGTTGTTCCAATGGGTGTCTATTACGACATATCCAAATTTGAGCCCCATTGGATACATATTGAAATCTCAGGCCTTCATACACCAAGCCTGGTTCAGAAGAATCTTTTATTTCCAACAACCAAAAGAAAACCCACATGGGTTGGCAGCAAAAGGTAGCCACAATTGAACACCTTTGAAATCCCATGTGAAGAAAGCTTGAGGTGCAGCAAAAGAAGTATGGGATGGAATTGATTCCAACCACACTACCATAGACAAGATGAAGTGGGAGTTATGGATTGTATTAAAAGATGAATGATGGTGTTGGAATTCATCATGATATTCCTTCCTCTTAGCCCTATAAATAGAGAAGTCTTCAAGCTTCAAAACACATCCCATCGTTTTCCACTCTCACTCTCTCTTATCTCTCTATCTTTTTATCTGTCTGATTTCCATCTGATTTCCGTTGTCAACGATAGAGATGGAGCGAAACAACGTGTTCACAATCGCACTCATCTGCATTCTCGTCGCCGGCATTGGAGGCCAAGCTCCGGCATCCGTGCCTACAAAGTCTCCGGCGACTCCAGCTGCAACCACACCCACTGCTTCACCACCAGCTGCAACCACACCCACTACTTCACCACCAGCTGCAGCTCCCACAAAGCCCAAGTCACCATCTCCAGTCGCTTCTTTTATAAGGATTGAAAATGACGACCAATACTAGAGATTCTTCACGTATATAGTGTTAGTATGAAAATTGGATTGTCATTTCCTAGACTCTAGCATAGGTTGCAAATTGGCGTGTGAAGAATTGTTACTGAACGTTTTGGCACAAGTCATTCAATCCCATACTTCCGAGGCATGACTTGACCGATATGAGAAACTGATTTCAGGTAAATCATAACATAATCATGCATTCATTATAGGATTCCTAGTTGGAGTTATTTTTACTCAAGCACTTTTATGTTAGCCCTATTTTTAATAGGATTAGATTTTATCTCTTGAGATTACTTTCCTAGTTGGACTCTAAGTTAAAATATTATCTTTGTTTGGTCTAATTAATTTGTTTTAGGAGATATTGTTTCTCCATAAAACAATGGTTATTTGGCGTCAATCTCTTAGAGTCCATATTGGATCAAATTTGATATTCATGATTGAATAGAATTTGTGGTCTCCTTTTTGGCGTCATTACTTAAAACCATATAGGAAGTTTGGGTCTGTTATTCACTAGGCATCTAAATCATATATTCATGATAGGAAGTTTGCATGGTTAATGAATTGATTCTAAGTGAATCAAATATGTTTAATGGCAAGAGATTGAGCACGTGGCTTGGTGCTCTTCTCTTGCAAAAAGGAGATTGTGGTTTGTATAAGAAGATGACGTGCTTCTTTGTTTGGGCAGCTTTTCTGATATTTTGTTTAAGCATCCAAAATTCCAAAGAAAGCTGTTGTGCATATATCTGAGATAAATCATCAAGTGTTCCATGTTTACTTGGTGATTTATCAAACACTTTAACCATTCATATTGCATTCATTTGCATTGTTCGGTGACTCATACGGTTGAGGGCACCAAGACCGTGGTGGCGGTTCTCCTCCGGCGAGCTTGAAGCAATCGTGACCAGTATTGCGTTCAACATAAGGAGGGTCGAAGATCATCCTGTGACAGAAGTTGAGTTACGAAGAAGTCGATAAACATTATCTAGAATGTGTCTAGGATAAGTGTGTGAGTACTTCTTGTAATCATCGTTCTATAGTGGATTTGTGTTGGACTGAGGAGTCCCATGGATTTTCCCCAGAGGTGGGGTTTTACCACGTAAAATAATTCTCTCTGTGTTCTTTTATTTTATTCTCATCACGTTTCAGGATTGATAAGCCATATCAATCCTGCTACCGAAGTTTATTTTTGTTTACTTGATTATAATCTTGAATTGGCCTATTCACCCCCCCTCTAGGCATTTTTAGTCATCCTACAGGTATTTTCAAATCCCTTAACAAAACATTGTATATATCAATTATGTAAACAAAAACAAAAAGTGCAAACAATGCAGAAAATGCAACAACAAAAACATAGACTGCAACAAAAACAAAAACCAATTCTATAGAAATATAAATTGCAATGCATTGTGTTAATAATGATCAATCTACAATCTAAAAAGCAAAGTCATAATGAAAACAAGCAACTAAACTAAGTCTAAAAGGCATATCCATTGATGACACAATTGTATAATTTCCATTTACTTCAAAAATCATACCAATTTCCAATTATAAAATAATTTAGCCAATTGTAATTAAATGCAAAACTGCAATGCAGTTTGTGCAAAATTGCAATGTAGTTTGTGCAAAAATGAGCAGTTCTTTTTTCATAATGTAGGTGATTAAAGCATTATATTGAACTAAAGTACGCAAAACTTGCAGGCATAAATTGAAGGCTTATTTACTGTAGTACCCCCTAAAACTTCGGTCAAATCTCACTTTATCCTCCCAAAGTTAAAGTGACCCATTTAACCTCCTTGATCGTGGTTTCGTATTCCACTTTACCCCCCACAATTATCTTCATTAATGACTTTGTCAATTTTGATGACGTGGCATGGCTATTTTAGTCTTTTTGCCACAAATGTTGATGTGTCATGTGAAGAGCCCACTTTTTTTTTCCTTAAGTGGAATATAAAAAAAAAATTCAAAAAAGTGGAATAAAATAATATAATTCCTTTTTTCTTTTTCTTTTTCTTTTTCCTTTTTTCCTTTCTTTCTCTCTCCCCATCTAGATCTCTCTGGTTCTCTTTCATTTTCTCTCTCCCATTTAGAGATTTATCTAGCTCTCTTTCCTTTTATATCTATCCTACACAATCTCTTATTCTGGTTCCACTAGTTGATGGTGATAATGGTGGTTCGACTGTATTATGGTGGTGATGTGGCATGTGCAAACTGCAATGTAGCATGTGCAAAACTGCAATGCAGCACCTGTCTGAAAATTCCTCAACTAGTAAGGAGTGACTTAAACCAATCAAAAAAGCAACTAAAAACCAAAAAATTCATGCCAACAACTATTAAGAAATAGCCAAAACTAATTGTTGAGGCCCAAAAAATCCACGGTTCGGCCCAATGTAATACCTTACCGAGAAGAAACTCGATTTGGGCACGCGAAAATTCGTCATATGCGCTTGCACACATGCCACGTCAAGCAAATAAGCAACACGCCACGCTACAAGCTTAAGTGGGCCCAAGCCACGCAAGATGCCTGGGGCTTGCTTAAGTGGGTTGTGGTATGGATGGTAATAAGTTGACATGAGGCCCATTGATGGGCCAAGAAATGGAAGTCCCGGAGTTGCTTGGGAGCCTCGGAACTCAGGCCCATTTCTTAGGCCCAAACATGTGGGTGAGCACAAAGGAGAAAATATCCCAACCAAAATAGCCTATTGACTCAACCAAAAAAGCCCAATGCTTGATAGAGATAGCCCACTTACTCAATAAACCAACTTGGCCTATACAATTACAATAGAAGAGCTGCAAAGCTCCAGCACCTGGCTGAAGAACAAAGCCACGAAGGGAAGTCTGAAGGTCCATTATGTAGAGTTGCTGGGAAAGTTCCAGCACATGGGAGGAACAAGTTTCAAGTAAAAACTTCCAAAGGACCAAGGGATATTGGAGCGCAGATCACCGTTTGAATGAAAATGGGAGTTCTGAGGCAGCTGCGGGAAAGGGCCTTGAGCTCCCCAAAATCCCTGATTTTGTGGGATTGGGCAGAGTGGATTTCACCAAAATAGGATGATTGAAGGGATGGGAGGAGAAAGGACGGAAAAAGCTTGGCCAAATTGGATAGAAACCATTAGGGTTTCTTGAAAAATGATAGTTTCTAGCGCTTATAAAAAGAGGCATTTCCTACCCATCATCACAACACACATCTGGAGAGTAAGCTTCCTCTCTCACCTGCAAAACTCAGTAATTTCGTGCTTTGCTTGCCCATCTCCCCCATTTTTCTTCTTCTGGCGGATTGTTCCAACACTTGACAGAGTCTCTGTCAAGTTGCCGGAAGAAACAATCAAGCCACCCATCCCTTTCTCTCCCTCCTTTCTCAGCCAAATCTTCTTGCAAACCTTCCTTTTCTTACCGTAACACTCCCCTTTTCCCCCAAGTACGCATAATTTTCTCTTCGGTGCTAAACTTATGTCGATTTTGGTCCAATGCCACAAACTTCTCATGCCAAGCCAAGAATTTATCTATAAGCAGCCATTATTTTCGTTGGTGAAGGTAACCAAGGTGTTTCCTAAGGCTTTACAACCCTTTCGAAACATTTTGGGGTCTGATCTTTGAACTCAGACACAAGGGGGATATTTTCTTTAGTTTTCTCCTTACGGCAGCCCAGGCTCGCAGTAGCTGCCGGAACGAAAAAGCCCATACACTAATAAAATCACATAATCAAATTAGAAACTAGAATGCAGCACCTAGTAAACCACATCCCAAAATAACTAAAAACAAAAAACTACTTGATCGCAGCTAGTAAAAAGAGACCTAAATCAATCAAATCAATAACTGAAAACCAAAAAAATTCATGCCAACAACTAGTAAGAAACAACCAAAACCAATAAAATCGTATAATCAAATTAGAAACTGCAATGCAACACCTAGTAAGTCACATCCCAAAATAACCAAAAACCAAAAACTACATGACCGCAACTAGTAAAAAGAGACCTAAACTAATCAAATCAACAACTGAAAACCAAAAAATTCATGCCATCAACTAGTAAGAAACAACCAAAACCAATAAAATCATAGAATCAAATTAGAAATTGCAATGCAACACCTAGAGAGAGAGAGAGAGAGAGAGAGAGAGATTGGGGGTTAGGTTTATTTATTTGTTTACTCTCTTTTTTTTGGCGAAATTTGATTTATTGTTCTAACTTTATTTATTTGTAATATGAACTTTTATGTTTCTTATTCTTTTTAATTAATTTAAATGTGACAATTGTAGATTTAAATAATATTTTCTAAAAAAATGATAAGTATATGTTGTGTGGTTGAATTTGTTTTTCTAAAAAAAGTATTAGTTTTATTATCATGTCCCTTTTTGTCATTATACATAATAAAAGCACTTCTGATAAACATTTACCAAACACTTTGATTACTCACATCACTTTTTCAAATGTCATTTACCAAATGCCTAACTACTTTATTTCACATTTGATTATTCTCGCCACACAGTAGAATCCTTTTTTTTTTAAGCACAGCAATGCCAAACTAGCCCTTAACCTAGTGAAGATGTGATTGGTACAAGAATTCTATAGTGATGGCCTTATCTAAGCCCTTAGATGAGGCCCTATCTTTTAGCCGTTGGATCAAATTGGTTAGCCGTTAAATCAAATTAGTTAGTTTGATTTAACGGTTAAGAGATAGAATCTTAACTAAGGGTCTTAGGTGTTTGTAGGCCTTAGCCATTGTTTAACATTTTTCAATTAGGCTTTTGCCCCCTTTTTTCATACTAAAGAAAAATAAAAAAAGAACATAGATTATTAGACAAGTTTATAACATTCTAATTAAGCCCAAATCAGGATTTTGTGCGTAGTCTCTTGCGTTATTTTTTTTAATTTAAAAAATTTCAGTTTTACAATTTTTTTGTTTAAAAAAAATTATTCGAAAGGCCTTAAATTGCTGAAGTTGCTGGCGAATTGGTGCTCAAGCATTTGAAGAGCTTGGTCGCTTCGATGCTGGTAAGGGGTGCTCCACTATATTATTTAGCTGACTAGATTTTTCGCTTGTATTAAAGATGGCGAATTTTCAAGTGAGGATGTTTTGCATAAGCGCTATATGGACTGTTGTCTAATTTAATGAGTTCAGTCCGGGTATTTTTAAGTTCGCCAAATATTAAGCATGAACATTTAAATAATCCAGTCCAGTGCGAGGCACCAAATGTGTCCAAATACTTTTAAAATGAGATATTTTGTTAAGTTGTTAGTTAAGCAACAAAGTTTGATGTTTGGTTTAGTTTACATTTCATTATCATTATAAATTTGGAATGACAATTGTTGTCTTAGGATGTACCCCCAAGAAAATATGAGGGTGAAGCCCTTAGCAAGCAACTATGAGACCATGTTAGTTGGACTGGTTTGTGCATGAGTTATATTAAACAACTTTAAACCATTAATTCATCGATTGCTTAAGCTTGCAAACCTGTTTAAGCTACCTTGAAGACTTGTATGCCCAAAATGACCTTTTTTGGGTCAAAGTTCGGAAGGGGTATGGGGAGGCGTTATTAGGGTTCGAACCTAAACCATTGATTTGCAATCAAATGCCCTTACCTCTGAGCTATGAACCTGTTGGCCCCAAAATGACATGTTTACATCTTTTTGTTGTTATTGAAATAATTAAACAATATTGCCTTCTATGCCAATAATTCAGCTCAACAATAAGAACCGCAAAAGAAAATGTACAATAGGATGCAACTGCTTCAGAAAAGCAACCTGCAACCTCAGAAAATTTATTTGCGGTATGCCTATCGAAATAAGGAGACAGCTGCAACCCAAGGGCACAAGGCTCAAGCTTTCACCTATTCTAGTTGCCTTCGTAAAGAATCCATGACAGCCAAAGTCTCTCCATATGTTAGAGGAGGAGTTGTGTACTTTTTGCATTTTTGTACTTGAAGACGAGTTGTTGCCCGATGGCATTCAAACAGATAAAATTTGGTTTAGCCTCTGCCTAGTATGATTCACTGAGCTGTAGCAAACAGAAAGGGGGAAAAAAAAAGGGTTCGGTATAGTTGCGATATTCCATTTTGTGGATTAACATTTGAATACGCCTAGTAATTCTTACACACATCTACATGAGGAGCTCTGAAATTACTATACCAGTAATACACCAAATTCTAAACACCGGATATACAAACTCGTTCTTTTTCTTCCTTTTTTTGGCTATCTATGAACTCATTGTACTCTCTTGTTTCACATATGAAGATGAAATCCAACACAGAAGTCAATAATAGAGGAATTCATTTGATTACGGTACAGAACAGGTGAAGGTAAGGTATGTACCTAAGGTGTCCCACAGAAAGAGAACAGCAAGACAATTTTAACCCAAGACTTTCGGCCGCCAACCCAGAATGACATCTTCTTTCAGGGCACTAGTTTTGACAAATGAATCCAGTGAGAATATACTCTGCATATCAGAAATTCAGCAGCATTAGGAACATAGAACACTATCTAGTAAAAAGGGGTAGTAGTCCTTGCACAAACATGTTTGCATAAAACTGCTTCTGCATTGTTAATGCCATCCAATTTTGTATCCTGTAGATTTACTTTTTAATCAACAATACGATCTCTTGTTCATTACAAGTAGAAAATTGTTAGCTACATATCACATACCTTCATGTACGACTTCACATATGGAAGGGAATCTGGAACTGACCAATCTTTAAAATGCCCCAAAGCAATCTCTAGATGATACAACTTGGGTCCAAGTGAAAAATCTACAGCAGAAACCTCCTTCCCATTGATGAAAGGACCCTGATATAAATAAATGTCAAAATATCTATTCAATTTGGTTTTTTTAAACATGCCTGTACAAGAAGACATCAAACTTCACAAAGTATGTATACATCAAGGGACCATTACATTGCACAGAAAGACCACATCATAAATTTGCTTTCTTATTTTGGTAAATGAGAATTTATTAACTGCATCCCAAATTGTCCCTTACATCATAAATTTGTTTTTAATCATAAATTTTAGCCATTAATGGTTGAATCCAATATGGATGAAGTAGGAAAATAATTATAAGATACCAACCGATGGAGGACAGAGAGAGAAGCTGAAAGAAAATAAGAAAAAAAACAAAAAAAAACAGAGGAAGTAGAAGCCTCACATTTTCTTTGAGATAATCATTGAAAGCGCTAAGTTCATTTAGCAACGCTTGTTCTGTTCCATCTTTGGGGTCTTTGCTCTTAAGGAACCCAATAAATGTGGAGAAGATCTTAGACCCACTGCGAAGAACAACCAAAATTGCTTCTCATGGCGCTTTGAAAAGTATTCTGAGCTAATGATATTATGGCAAGCCAAAAAAGTCGAAACTAGAATAACGAAATAAATACTTAAAAGTATTGAGTAACAAACAAACAAACTGGAGGTCAACTTAACATGAGATATTTCTTTAAACAGCAACAACACATCAGGTGTATAAATTTGGTGACTGCAACAAGTTACAGCACGGTATTCATTATGATGGCAACTTCTTATTGACTGCATATAGTAACCTGTTCAGCATAAGCAACATTACAGACCATAAAAGACTACCATGGATGCTCAGATATTTAATACTTCAGCTTCCAGTTCATATTAGCAAAATCTTTATCAGACTGCCTCTATTGAAGGAATACATACTGCTTCCATTGACCAAAAGCACGTTCAGAATTTCGGACCAAACTCTTACTCCAAGATCAAGAATAGATGCAGAAAGAAACACACCATCAAAAGACATAATTTTACGTGATTCATCCCAAATTGGGTTGCGTCTCTGGATGATCACGATGATCCACTAATGTTGAAAGAAAAAGATTACAAACCTGAAGAATTTAATAGGTTCTTCCAACCACATTAACTAATCTCCCACTCCTCTCAACGTTACTCGACAGAGAATCTCAATCACAATCAAAGGATCACAATTGCTCGATCTCGCTAGGTTTTTCTCTCAATTGGTTTATCTAAACCTTACAAGAGATAAAACAAGCATCCCAACAACCTGAGAAGGACAAAGCTCTGCAACAACTATTTAAAGGCTCACTAAAACCCTAAAACTGATTAGGAAACATCATAAAGTCATAATACAACTAACAGAATGAGATAGGTACCAAACAGGACTCAAAAATGCGTCAAAACTAGAACAGGAAAGCTAAAACCACATGGCATGCTCCAGCTTCACTCAAGACTTCCCTTGGAACATTGAGCTTCGTCAATTTACCCTCTGGACGCGGAAGCGCCAATTATCAAGCTTGTAATTTTGGAGCCCTTCTCCAATAATTTCGAGCCACAGCCTTAACAATTCTCTTCTGACTAATTTATTTAATGCCACAATCAAAGTGGGAACTTCTTACTCAAGCACTCAAAACTCAAGGATGAATTTTGTCCCCTCCAATTAGGGGAAAATGACGAAGACAACAAGAAGCTCAAGAAAAAGCAAACTCAAAGACTAAAAACATCTTAAATTTTAGTTTAATTTTTATGTTGGACCTGATTTCCTATCGCTCAACATACATATCTAAGTTAGTTACTGTAAGAATATAAAATAAATGTCAGACCCTACCTTCAAAGTAAGAGTTGGAGATCCTAAGTTAGAATCCCAGCAATTGTAACCTTCCAAGTTAAGTTGAAGTCCACGTTTTGGACACTAATAATGGAGAGAGACCCCATATGAGAGGGAATGTTAGAATATAAAATAAACATCAGCTGCATTCAAATAGCTTAAACTTTTGCAATAGTGATAGACCAACATACTCAATCGTTACATTCTTGGCTTAGGTCGATTTTAGTTTGTGAGTTTAAAAAGGTAGGGGTATTCATTCGTAACATGGTTTTTTAGGAATTTCATTCTCACCAAAAAAACAAATAAATAAAAATCCTTTTCTTGCTTTAGTTTTAGTTAGATAGTTCCTACAGACTTTTTCATAGGTTCTCCTGCCTTACATACTTCTCGTGCAGTTGGGTAGACAACACATTTGGATATTTTTGATAAATTTACTTCTAGGAGAAAACAACTACCCGTGTTAGAGTTCAAAATGAAAACAAAAATCCATTATGACATTTTTCCCTTTTTCTTTCACCATTAGGCTGTACTTCAAGCCATAACATATGTCCTAGCAATGAGTAAAACTATCAGAAATTCATAGTACTGGATATATAACATACACTGAAGCCTTCTCAGGGGGGGCTGCCAAAGGTGGATCTGGGTACTTTTCTTCCAAAACTTGTGTGATAACATCTGAATCTGCAACCCATTTCTCATCCAGATTTATCACAGGTACTTTACCTTCTGGATTAATCTTTAAGAACCTACACACAGAAACAAAATAAAGAAACTCATAGAACTCAAAAGATGAAACAAAATAGAAGCAGATATTTGCACTTTCATCTTTGTGCGCTAGGGCATAGGTGAGTGACAATTTTTCAACAACACAGAATGAAATTTAATCCCAGATAAATTCAGAAAATCACCACTCTGGCTTGTTACCGAAGTCCACCAACTTCAGGTCATAAGGGAGATGCTTTTCCTCTAGAGTCAGCAACACCCTTTGACAAAATGGACCTAGGAGAGACAATTAAACAATCAATCATTCGAGCCCATGATTTAAATGCACCACTACAGTAACACATTAAATAGTTTCCCACCTCAAAAATTATAAACCACTATGCAACAATGAAAGCAATATGAGAATTTAAATCCACACAGATATCAGACGTTTCCTGCCATCTTATAAACTCTTCAATGCCTATCAGAATATCAGTCTTTCTTTGGTTAAATTTGATTCCATAACCTGCACTCTCAAACTCAATACCCCTCAGTCTATGTATGTAAAGCTCCAAGGTAAAGATAGCCTCTTTTCACAGAATGTCCATAATTTCTATAACCACAAATTCCCAATCCTTCACATTCATTTTTTCTTCCTCCAACACACAGATAAACACAACTTATTAAGTAAAAACGAACACAAGTAAAGAGAAAGAGGCTTTTCTCTACAAAATGTTTCACAAAATTTTCAGTTTCTATAAATTTGGCGCCTTATGTGCGCTGACATTGCAATGCTACGAAATCTGCCACAAGGGTACTCTACAAAAGCCTAAACCAAGAAAGACCCCATTGAAAATTTTTCATTTTCCGGCAGTTTCTGGGAGACCAAACAGCACCAGACTCTTTTTTTCCTTTACCAAACAGAAACAGACTTACAGTCGCCGAGCTTGTTGGGGACAGTGACGGAGGCTTTGGCGCAAACTTCGAAAGGGGCAGCCGCTGCCACAGTGAGGGTTCTTATGGTTCCGCGACGCCTGACGAAATTGGGATTGGTTCTGAATACGACGGCGTTTGGAGGGGGTCGAAGGAGGTGGTGTTTGATGGTGGAGGAGAGCACTGTAGAGGCTGCTGGATGAATTCTGGCGGTCGTCGACATTGCTATATCTATATGTATCTAAAGCTTACCGTGGAGATGAGGATTTTGTTGCCTTTTATTTTAGAAGTGAGGAAGAGTGCCAGCGGTTTAACGACACAGAGCTTTTCCGTACAGCCGAGTTTGTGCACCAGAAAATTCCAACATATATATATA